TTTTTCTTTCTATCTTTATTTCTACCTTTGTGTTTGTTCCTTCTCTTATTCTTGGGTAGGACCGCCATGAGCGGCAAAGACGGGATGCCGTTAATGTGTGTGTGTGTTTTTCTTTTTTTTTCTATCTTTATTTCTACCTTTGTGTTCGTTCCTTGTCTTGTTCTTGGGGTGGACCGCCATGAGCGGCTATGCATGGGGGGTCTAGGACTCTAAGGGGTGCGGCAAAGACGGGATGCCGTGAATGTGTGTGTGTGTGTGTGTTTTCTTTGTATCTTTATTTCTACCTTTGTGTTTGTTCCTTCTCTTATTCTTGGGGGGGACCGCCATGAGCGGCAATGCATGGGGGGTCTAGGGGGTGTGGCAAAAACGGGATGTCGTGGAATGTGTGTTGATTTGTTTATTATTTTTTTTTTTTCTAGGGGTGGGGTTTTTTTTTTTGTCTGTAGGGGTCTTTATGTTTGTTCCTTCTCTTGTTTGTCGTTGTGGTTGTTGTGGAACTTGTGTTCGTTCCTGTCATTGTCCATCTTTTACAGGTTGATTCGTCGGTTGTTCAGTAACTTCGGTGCAGTTCTTTGTCGTTGGCGTCGAAGTTCGTTTCAGTTCACCCCTTCTGCGGATTTCATTCGGTCTCCACAACATGTCTGACCCTCGAGGCAATAACGGGAAGGGCCCCGCGGAGTCCTCCTCGGCAACGGGGAAAAGGGCGGAGGGTAGTAAAAAAGGTCACAACACGAAGACCTTTGACTCCCCTTTTAAGGTGGATCCAAAGGCGGATGGAAAACGAGATAATCCTGTTTGGCATTTCGTTGCTCGTGGTCGTTATTTAGATGAATCCACTACGGTCGGGAGGAAGAACGGTCGCCGTTGTTTGTGCAGGTTATGCGGTCGTTCTCTATGTGGGGGTGCTCGTGAGGCGAAAAAATACTTTTTTCATGGCGAAGGGTATAGATGCCACGTGGCCACTCCGGCGGTGTGACACACGATTTGGTCAAAGGATATGTCCAAGTGTCCTGCACATTTGGCTTCTGCCGTGCAGGCCTTGCAGAGTTTCCCTCTAGGTCATCCCTCTTTTCAATGGCCACCTCTTCGTTTTCCCGATGACGTCGTTCCGCCGCCCCCGTCGACCGCTCCCCCCTCACAAGTGGCGCCATCTCCATGTGCACCACTTGTTCCCCTCCCCCCTCGTCCACTTCGTCAGACGATTCCCGCATCCGTTGATGGCAGACCATCTGTGGCAACGCAGCCTGATGCGCAAGGCACCGTGCCAGTTTCAAGTGTCGGGGAACCTGTGCCGTTCGACGAGCAAGGCACTCGTGCTTTCGTCGAGGGTGGTGGATGGGGGAAGGTCGCTGGCACATCATCAGGCCTCGCCCCGTTGTTCACTTGCAACAGGGACAAGGCCCCAAGAGTTCGACGCGCAGACACACGTCCGGCCGTGGCAGGAGCACCCGCAACAGGACATCAATCCGCTGCGTATCCATGGTTGCCTCCCCCTCCTTCGCAAACACGACGGCCTACACCAGACTTGACTTCGGCACCTGTTGGCGRGGSCRCTGCAACGGCCACTGAGGGTGCGGGAAACGTCCAGCTCGACGAGCCCGTCCAGGTTTCGGATTCGTCACCCACTCCTGTGTCCGTGAACGGCCCGACCTCGCACCACGGTGTTTTTAGGACACTGGATCCTTTACAGAATCTGCGCAACATTGCAGCTCCGAGTCCAGGCCCAACCGCATCACCTACGGCCGGGGGCGGGGTGTGGGATTCACTAGGTATGGGCGCTGGTGCACGAGTGAGGGGCACTTACAGGCAGCAAGCGCTGACCTCGTATTACAACGACCYGCTGGAGCACGCATGGCACCTGCAGATCATGCGATTCATTGTCGAGAGCGGCATGCCRTTCAACTGTGTGAAGCTTGAGAGCTTCAAACGCATGTTGACGTTGATCATCCCGCCTGGKGTTCCAGGAGTCCCCACCCCAAAACCCCCAACGTATCACATGATCCGTACCACACTTTTGGATGAGCTTGATGTGGAAGTCCAAAAGTGTGTGACGACTGCAGCTACCTACGGTTGCACGATAATGACAGACGGTTGAACCAACATTCGGGGCCAAACATTGTGCAACTATCTCGTCGGCACTACACGGGGCGCCACATACGTCGCGACAGATGTTATGCGAGGAAAGAAGGATGTCACTGCTCTGGCGCAGGCTTGGCTGCAAGTTGAAGTACCTTGACATCAAGCTCGCTGATATCACCGCTTTCGTCACAGACTCTGCTAGCTCGAACGTTTCTGCGATGGAGGTGTTCCCGAAGGATGAGAGTGTCAAGCACATCTTCAGGATTCCTTGTGTGGCACACGTCATGGACCTCATCCTTGAGGACATCGGCGACATTGACTGGGTGGCGACCCGCATTGCTCAGGCGCGTTTGGTCACAAAGTTTTTCAAGCGTCATAGCCACACTCGCGAAGTTTTGCAAGCTTTCACGACGAAGGCTCCGCTGCTTCCTGCCGAGACTCGCTTCGGTACGCATGTGATTATGATGCGACGACTTCTTCTGCTGCAATCGCATCTTATGCAGGTGGTCGTTGATGATCGATGGAAGGACACAGTTTGGTCAACGAAGAAGATTCGAGACGACGACGCGGAGGTCACAGCATGTGTCGGTTGTCCTCAATGGTGGGAGGATATGAGAGCGTTGTGCAAGTTGTTGGATCCCATCATGGACATGCTGCAGATGGTGGACAGCGACACGAGGCAGATAAGCAAGATTCTGCGTCGGTACGACGAGATGATCGCGCGTTGTTTGTCTGCATATGTGCCGCTTTGGAGAAGGACGAGCAGGACGCGCTGCTTGAAGTGTTTGACAGACGCCGCACCATGTTCAAGTCGCCTGCTCATGTTGCTGTCATGATGTTGGACCCCGAGTTTCGAGACCGCACAATGCCAGATGACGAGGAGATGCAGCACGGTTTGAAACTCTCTCTGATTCAGTTTGGGTACCCGGAACATTCGGATCAGCACAACGAGGTCCTCACTGCCATTGACAAGTTCCATTCCAGGGAGCCAGCGTTCGACGACGTGGCCATGGACCGGACGGCGAGGAGCTATTCCCATCCAGCCTGTTTCTGGGAGTCGAAGGAGAAGAGGTTCCCGCACACGGCCTTCTTCGCTGGCAGGATACTGCGTGTGTGGGCGACTGCGTCGCCTTGCGAGAGAGCTTGGTCCCGTTGGAGTTTCATCCACTCCAAATCTCGTAACAGATTRGAGGTGGCGCGGGCCGAGAAGCTCGTGCGATGCCATTGGAACCTTCGGCTCCTCGACAGGCAGGCTATGTCGGACGATGCTCCCAGTGATAGGCCACATCCGTATGGGAGCTGGGTGCACTAYTGGCAGCAGGTGGAGGAGGAGGTGCCCACCGACCAGCAGCTTGTGGCAGACCGAGGAGCCCGTGTGACGGTCACGAAGGAGGAGTTGACGCAGGCGAGAGAGAGGATGCGCGTCGTGTCCCGCATGGGAGCCATTCGTCGCTTGCGGGAGTCTGACAGGAGGAGGAATCGTGGCGGCGGTCGCGGAGGTGGTCGTCGGGGCCGTCGCAGGCGAGGCGAGCGTGGAGGTCCTGGCGGGAGGCGTAGTGTCGCGAGTCGTGGAAGGGCAGTGAACGAGCTAGTACGCAAGCCTCGACAGCGATGGGATGAGGGAGACTTTTTGTACGAGAGCTCGTCCAGCGATGACGAGGATTTCTTCGGGACTGGCAGGCCTGCACAGGATGGCGACAGCGATTTCGACGACCGTCACCCGAACATGGGCGACGACGATGGCGCTAGTGGCGATGATCACGGTGACGGAGGAGATAGGCCACGACC